ATGTGATCAGCACATTGTGGTCGGTTATGTGCTGATCACATCAGATTTTTTTTTCTTTTTGTCCTCCCTCCTGGCTAAATTTATTTTCAAATTTTATTCATAAAAATATTACAGTAAAGTTGAAACTTATTTTAATACAAATTTTATGTTAGAGTAAAGTAGAAAGAGAGCTTAAAAAATTTACAATAAATTTTAATTTTTTTGCTTTCTTTTATTTAAATTAAAGTTTTATTATTATTGAGATCTACGGGGATTTATTGTTTCTTTTTTCCTTTCTATGTAGTCTATATTGTTTTCGTGCGTATATTTTATTTATATATGGTCTTTAGATAAAAGTTTTTTAATTATTTTGATTATATCTATAAGTGCATACTTTCGTGTTAAATTGCTGAAATCATTCATTTTGAGGAAAACATCATCTCCCTATAGAAAATATTTTATATATGTTTACATACATAAACTTCATAGATAAGAGCGCAATATGATACGTTTATACTATAGACAATGATTGTAGTTCAAACAGATTACTCGGGCGAATTCAAAAAAATGTTTTTTAGATTTTTGTAGAATTGGAAAAAACTAAGCTTAAATATTTCAAATTAATAGGAAAATAATTTAATATTTTTAATGTACAATCGATTAAATTAATATTATTTTGTGGTTTTGTAATTTGATTACATTAAAAGATTTAAGTGTTTGTTTTGCGGTTACATTTTGTATTATTCAATTATTTTAGTTATTCCAGGTACTTAAACCTAATTTTACATGTTCATACATAATATATATTTTACATTGTCATTAAATGTAATAACAATTGATCTAATAAATAAGTAAGGTAATTTATACAGCTAATCAATTTAACTAGAAATTTAATTAACAAAATATTCAATTGAAGTATACTTTTAACTAAATTTTAAGTTACCGGACTAATAACAGGTACTCTAATTTCCATAAAATTGAAAATTTAGGTTTATTGTTTTAAAAGAATTCCGTATAATTTGTTATTAATACATAAAAAAAAAATCTGATGTGGTCAGCACATAACCGACCGCAATGTGTATTGTCTAGTTAAATGAAAGTGTTACAGAATATTATAAAAATGTCTGTTAAACATTCCTTCCAATTTTTAGGACATTAGAAAGCTTATAGTTAACATACCTAGAAAAATGTAAATTTGGTTCTTAGTAGAGTTTCACTTTGTACTACCCGAATTCCCTGAAATGCTCGCCAGTTATTTTCGGTAACAACCAGAACTCAAATATTAAATTTCAAGAAATTCCATCGATTCGTTCCGTAGATATGGTGAAAAATGTAAAAATGTAACACGAGGAATTCAAATATTAAATTTCAAGTTGCCGATGCCTGATTTCTTCCAAAACATAGGAATTTTCGCGGACGGTCGAGCTGAGCTTATATATAAAATTTCAAGTAAATCGCTTGAATATTTTCTTCAAAATATTCAAAAATGTAAAACAGGCCCGCTAAAAAGTGCAGTTCCCTCGGCCTGATATATACCAAAAGTTGTTCAATCCGTAACATGGTGGAAATAAACTTACATATAAAATTTCATCAAAATCGGTTCAGCCGAACTTGAGATACACGCGTGCACACACAGATCGACAGACCGACAGGTTGCTAAAAATAGTTTATTTACACTTTCCTACTATGGAGAAGTGCATTCCCACCGAAAACTAGATATGCAAAATTTGTTGCCATCACATAATCTATCTATTGTATGCACAATACGGTCGGTAAAAATAAAAGTTTCAAAAGATATAATCCTTTTTGTGTGTGATCATGTGTGTTCCAACTTTATCGTTCTGTGTTAATTATCATTCTGATTCAGTTTCAAATATCCAATTTCAGGTTTTCTTGAATCTATAATAAATAATTATAACATTTTAATAACTTTTTTTATGTAAATTTCGTAATTGCAAAAAATAAAAATTAACAAAATTAGATACATACGTAAACTTTGAAAAAATAACAGTGCAAAATACTCGTTGTTAATATTATAATAAATATTACCTAAGCAATTTTCAAATTTATGATTTGCTATTAGCTCAGTGAGAAATTAAAGTGCAATGATTTTTTTTTTTTTTTTTTATTTTATTCAGAAGATAAAGATAAAGAAATTTAGTTATGAAAATTCAAAGTAAAAGTAAGTTAACTAACTAAAACTAAATTTTTTTAAAAAGTATTAAAATATAGATGAATTTATAAATTACATCTTATTTATTTAAAATTTAAAAAAAAATTTTTTTTTTTTATTTAAATTTAAAGTTGTGTTGTGTCGCATGATTTTTAAAGTTTAAAATTAAAATTGAAATATGTATATTAGGCACAAATTTTTAAGAAATTTTTTAGTTCTTTTTTAAATGATTCAATATTTTGCTCTGACTTAAATCTGAATGATATTCTTTAACGCACTCGCTACCTCTTTTTGTTTTAAAATCACCCGCGTGCCTAGTATAGTAATTATGTAGTTCTGTTCCTTGGTATAGAGTAGAATTACTTATTACATGTTTGTTGATTATTTTAAATATATGAAAAACTTGTAAAAGTTTGTGTTACTGAATGATATTTAATATATTAAAATCATTATATAAGTTACAAGTTGGCGTTCTAGCCTCTAAATTGTATAAGTTTTTAATTGGCTTGTTTTGCAAAGTTTGTATTTTATTAATATTTTGTTTGGATGATGATCCCCAGATAATTAAACCGTATGAAATATGCTATGAAACATGCTAAAGTAAATTAACCGTTTCACTGTGGTCGGTAATTCATTACAACTCTTTTTAAATATACCCGCTATTCTTCTGAATTTTTTGGAGACAGTGTCGATATGTACTTTCCAACTAAGGTCTTTATCTAGCATTATGCCCAAATATTTGTAACTATTAACTTTTTCTATTGTTTAGAAAAAGTTTTTCTAGATTTAGATTACTAAGAGTTCTGCAAAAAAAAAAATTAAAATAACTTTTTCTAATTCTATCGCGAGTTTAATTGTATTTTTCATTTCTATCACGAAAATTTCACACATATTGTATTTCTACACAAAATTTGTAAATGAGTTACATTATTTATTCATTAAACTTTAATTAAACTTACTACAATTTCATAAAAATGAAGCTTCATGGTGTTTTAATTAAGTTTACCTTTATTTCAAAGTTTTTCGCATATAAGTCGCAACAAGATTTTATAATTAGTGTGAGTGGCTGAATGGTTCGAAATAGTTTGGAAATTCTAATTAAAATTAAGAGGTAACGAAAATTTTTACTTTTGTTGAACTTACAATATTTTTATAAAATATTCATTGCCAAAAGCACAGAAAATTAATCAAGTTCTTTTTAAGTTTCCATTCTTAAAAAATAACAATATTTTCTCATAATTTTTGTACAAAAACAAACAAGATTTTGTCTCCCACACTGCATTAATCAACGACTTTTTCATAAAATTTACTTTTTCAATTTTCTAAATTAAAATTATCAATTGTCTAACATTTATTTCAGAATTGAAACATGATTTATTTAATAGCAACAGAACAAACTTTAATCTCCTCGAATATTTTCCTTTAAATATTTTTTCTTTGTTTTAATAAAAAAGAAAAGTTTTTCTATAAAAATAACGCACTTCGCTACACATAAACAAGAAGATATTGCGAATATTTTGAAAATATTTATCTAGGTATAACTACATAAATAAGTGACAATAGAAATACTATTTCCTTGAAACATCCTTGAACGGAACGTGAACACCAGCTTTAAAAACTTTGGTGTTTTCATGTTTTTCTTCGTTTTTTGTTCCTTTCTTTAAACAATTTTTGCCTAAAAGTTTGAAAATATTTAAGTTTTTTTTCTACTCATCATCTTACGAGTATTTTTTATTTAAAAAAGTTGAAAATCATTTATCTTCTTTAAGTATATTTTTAGGTTTTACAACATATTTTGCAATAAAATCATAAAATACAAAAAAAATATGAGAGATATATGAACAAAAAATCAACATGAAAGCAAAAAACTTAGAAGCATAGATTTTGTTTTTCCTTGTCAAATTTTTAATATTAAAACGGAAGTGCTGGAAAATTAATTTTCCTGGGGAAAAAAAATACCAAAATAAGCGCAGTAATGGAAGAAAAATATTGAAAAAGTAAAGTAAAAAATACAAAAGAATTTTAAGAAAAATAATTTCTTTCAGTTTTTTTATTGAAAAATGTCAGACAAACCTCAAATAATTAATTTTTTCAGTTCTTTTGAACTTATGTAACTAGGCATGTGGAGTAAACCAAAAAAAAAATAATGATAACCAACCGCAATGTATAATCCCTAGTTCAATAAAAGTGTTAGAGAAGATTATGAAAATATGTTTTAAACACTACTTCTTTACAATTTTAAGGAGACTAGTAAACTTCTAGTTAACATATCTAGAAAATTGTAAATTTCCCTCATAGTATAATTCCGCTTTGCGCCACCCGAGTTCTCTGAATCGGTTAGTCAACGGTAACAACTAGAACACAAATATCAAATTTCAAAAAATTCCTTCGATCCGTTCCATAAATATGTAATGATAATGTAAAATATAAAACAGTCAGCTGCAAAAATATAAGTTGAAACTCATGATTGAATAATTCTGTGCATATCATACAATGACGTATAAAAAACTCGATTTGAAGTGACGTAAAATTATAAAAATTGTTTAGTGACGACTAATAACACTGATGGAAAATCTCAAAATCAAGAAAAAGTTTCGGCATTCGTTGTATTGACACAAATCGATTAAACTACTGATTTTATTTAAACTATCCAAGACCAAAGTTTCGAGACTTAATGCTTAAAAAATGCTATATTACTTTAAAACAGTAGGAAAGCTTTAAACTTTTAATGTTCAATAAAACCAAATTTTTTTTTTTGCGACAAAGTTATGGCATATCTCAGCCAGATATTCACCCTACTTTCAAAATTTTTTTTGCTACATAAAAAGAAATTTCCTAATAAAAAATGTTAGGTACAAAAACGAAATAGCCTATTTTTCACGTGATTCCATATTGATATATGAAGCATTTAACACCATTTACCATTTTACAATTTAATTTAAATGAAATTTAAATTCACCATTTTACACTTTTCAATTTAATTTAAAATTAACAATTCATAAGCATAAAACGTGTTTCATTAATCACTATCGTGTTAAACAAAAATTTTTTAAAAATTAATATTAAAATAAATTATTTTACAAATCTTACAAAAAAAATTTTAAAATAATTTTTAATCTCTTTGATGACCTTTTTATAGGATAATTTCTGCGTGACTTTGGTGAACGAAGATGAATTTGTGCTAATTAATTTAAAATTAAAATCGTCAGCTTCGTTTCTGTCTTTCTATTAGTTTAGTTTCAGAATGTGTTTTAATCTACCAAAGTTTTTTCAAATATTTTACTATTTACGATCTAAATAAATTATATTCAAAATTTATTGATCTTAATTTTTAATCTAATTGTTGATTTTATTAAACGAAAGGTTCGTAAAACCAATACTTAATATTAGGTATAAATCCAGCGTTTTGATCAAGCAATTATTCCCTTTTTCTAAAATATTTTTGAATTTACATAACGTTACATGGTTTAATACAAGTACATGAAACAAATTTTAATTATAACAAGTAAAAACGTTTCAGTCGCTATAAACCAACTAAATAATATCCTGCTCTATGACAGTCTAAGTTTAAAAATTTATTTTTGCAACTTTTAGAAATAACTTTGATTGCTAATGCAATTATTGAACCTGTCAAACCACTTAATAGAAATTTCACGGATATTATATCTGACCTGTCAGTGGACACACGACTGCCGAGTTTCATGAATCTAGGTTTAATATTTTTCCAAATACTTAAAATTAACTTTCGGAGTCGTATGGCAGCTACACGAACCTTTTAAGTCATTTCAACAAAATTTCAGAAATATATATGACTTGAAATTGGACACGCGACGGCCGAGTTACTTAAAATCTGCTTTAATATTTTCCCAAAAGTTTAAAATTAACTTTCCGAGTTGTACGGCAGCTACCCGAACCTGTCAAGCAATTCGACCGAAACTTCAGAAATATATCTGACCTTAAACTGGACATACGACTGCCGAGTTTCATAATCTGACTTTATTATTTTTCCCAATTTTTAAGATTAATTTTCGGAGTTTTATGGCAGCTACCCAAACCAGTGCAGCCATTCCTTAAAAATTTTCACATATGTGAAGTGTAATTAAACACATCTTTGCAAAATTTGATATTATTATCTCTATTACTTTTTGAAATATTTAAAAAAAAACCTCTTTGAGTTGTATGGCAGCTACCCAAACCCGTTGTCCGAACGGTCGTTGGATGTTTGTCATTGGCACAAAATAAAAAACTTGTGCAAATTTGGTGTCGATAGCATTATTCGTTTTTAAGTTATCGTGCGATCGGACGGGCGGACGGATGAAGGTTGGACGAACGGACATGTCTAAATCGTCGCAAAATTTTACGCTGAGCAAGAATATATATATATATATATGTCCCTTCACGATGTGCAGGGTATAAAAATTACAATAAAATTCAATAAAGTTAAGATATTGTTGTTATCACGTTATTCAATTATTTATATATTATATATTTTTTAATTATTAGAGTAATAATTGTGGAATTTAGTGTCAGTTTTATTGACTTGAAAATTGTGTGAAAAAAATTTAAACTCTTAAAATTAAATTATACCATTTATTATATCCGCACGACTTTTTAACTGTAATAATGTAGTATATTTGTCACGTATACATGCAGTAAAATACTATATTTTTCCCTACGTAAAATTGTAATAATGATATGTTTTATATACAAAAAATTGTTAGTTTTACTACAAAATATTTTTGGTAAATCTGAATGGTTTTATATGGCGCCAAAATAATGATTGATTTTAAAGAAGATCGAATTTGTTAATTGCTATCGACCGTATTGTGTATACAATAAGGCAGTTTATGTGATGGCCACAAATTTTGCATACCAAGTTTTCGGTGGAAACGCACTCTTCCATGGTAGGGAAGTGTAAATAAACTGTTTTAAGCAACCTGTTGGTCTGTCGTCCTGTGTTTGCACGCGTATATCTCAAATTCGGCTGAACCGATTTTGATTAAATTTTATATGTAAGTTTATTTCGACCATGGTACGGATTGATCAACATTTGGGATGTATCAGGCCTCGAAAACTTGACATTTCGCGGGCCTGTTTTACATTTTTGACTATTTTGAAGATAATATTCAATCGATTTACTTGAAATTTCATATATAAGTTTCGGTTTACAAGGTTATCAATTTTTATTAATCTTTACTTTTTTCATTGCATTAATGTTGATTTGTTTTCATCATATACAATAGTCGATGTTATTGTCAGAAACAAAAAAATTATATGAAACCTATAAAAATGTATGATAACTATTTTTGTACAAACACAAAATCAGAAACCGAAAAAGATTTATTGTCAGATCAAATTTATACTGCAGGATAAATTGTCACTTTTTTTGTATTCTTTAATTTTTAATTTTTTGGCCTAAAATTTTTTATATGTACGTTTATATTGTAAATTACGCACATTATTATATAAATATGCATATGCATATAATATTGATTTTTAAATGGTATTCTTCAGGGATATGTGTGTATTATTTTTGTATTTTTCGAATGTTAATAAATGATTTATTTAAAATTTGATGATTAAATTTTATATTAGGAACAAATAAATAATGTGTGTAAAATTTACACATCCATATATTCAAAATATATACTCACTTCAATATACTTACCTTCAAATGACAACAGTATGTAAATGGTAGCAAAAGTAAAAAATCTGAGGTGATCAGTGTTACAGAATGTTATAAAATGTTTGTTAAATACTTCTTTCCAATTTTTAGGACATTAGTAAGGTTATAGTTATCATAACTATGCTCATTGTTTTAATACGAAGAATTTAAATATTAAATTTCAATGAAATCGGTTGATTATTTCTCTTTATATACTCAAAAATGTATATTTGGCCCATAGTAAACATCCAGTTGCTGATGCCTGATTTCCTCCAAAAGTTAAGAGTTTTCGCAAACGGTCGCGCGAAACTTATATATGAAATTGTAAGTAAATCGTTTAAATATTTTCTTCAAAATGTTTCCATCACATAACCTATCTATTGTATACGCAATGTGGTAAAAACTGGTAGAATCATATAAGAAGTTAACACATGAGAAAATAAATATGAAGTTACGCTGTTTTGAGGTTTGTTTTTTTATTTGCTTTTATTTTTGTTGAGGGAGAATAAATCTATTGGGAATTCCACTGAATTTTTTTTGTGCTTTTTAGAATTAGATTTTATGATACCAAATGATTTTATATTTGTTTGTATTAAAAATCTGAGTTTTTTATGAAAAATTTATATTACATTATAAATATATAATAATGAGATCATTTGTTTTAAATATTATTATAAAATTTGATTAAATTATGATAAACATTAAAGTTCTCCCTTTTTACCGATAGCATTGAATACAATAAGGGAGGTTATGTGATGGCAACAAATTTTGCATACGGAGTTTTCGGTGGCTTCTCTGTAGTAAGGAAGCGTAAATAAACTATTTTTAGTGAGGTGTCGGTCTGTCTTTCTGTCTGTTGAAATTTTGTATGTGAGTTTGTTTTGACTATGTAACGGATTAATCAACTTTTGGGATATATCAGGCCTTAGAAACTGAATTTTTTGCGCGCCAATTTTAGATTTTTACCCATATAAAGAGAAATAATCAATCGATTTCCTTGAAATTTAATATTTAAATTTGGAGTATTAAAGCAATAATTTTTTGGAACGATCAGGGCTCAAACCAAACTGGTGGCCAAATTTACATTTTTTACCATATCTACGGAACGGATAAATGAAATTTCTTGAAATTTGATATTTGAGCTCTGGTTGTTACCAAAACTAACTGACGAGCTTTTCAGGGAATTCGGATGATACATTTTCTAATGATCAGGGTTCGAAAACTAAACTTGAGACCAATTTTACATTTTTTACCATATCTACGGAACGGATTGATGGAATTTTTTGACATTTCATATTTGTGCTCTAGTTGTTACTGAAACTAACTGGCGAGCTTTTAAGGAATTCAGGTAGCACAAAACGAAACTCTATTAAGAGCCAAATTTACAGTTTTCTAGGTATGTTAACTAAAAGCTTATTAACGACACAAAAATTGAAAAAAAGTGTTTAAAATGTGTTTTTATAATCTTTTGTAATACTTTCTCTTAACTAGACAATATTATACATTGCTGTCGGTTATGTGCTGACCACATCAGATTTTGTTTTTATTTTTTTTTTAAATTTGAAATTAGATTAGATTTTCTAAAAGATTTACTTCCTAAATGAATAACACTTTTCGTTAACTAGATTCTGTTAGGTAGAGATTAGAGAATTAAATGAAATATCGATTTATAATTTTGTTTGCGATATTAAAATGAAATTTGTATTACATATTTTTTATAATTATAATATAAAGCTTTTAAACAATTAAAAAGGTTTAATTAAAAAACACATACAGCTGTCCATTTTAAGTTTTAAGAACTCATTTGTGATCAACACAGTATACTCATATCTGGTTTCATGAACTTGAAATCGGATGGTCGCCTACATTTTATTGTAAAGATTTGTCAATAAAATCGATAGGAAAAGTTCACTGGAAAGTCGAAAATTTTCTTCATTTCAATTCTAAATACTAGTATTATAATACGTACGAAGATATAAAACTTTTTTTTGTTACTTAATGAATGTATTTTATGCAAATATGAACACATCAGATATCATTATGTCTATAATTTTGAGTAATTTAACGCCCTCTAACCATTATGTAAAATTTTTAGCTGAACATTTGAAATTAAAAGTTAAAAAAATTGAACTACTAAATCCTCTAAACCAAAAATTAAACCGCACAGTTATCGTATACATATATGTATAATTAAAAACAGTACTATATTTTACTGTATCTTGTATGTCTAAAATATTGTAGATGAATTAATGAAACACAGAATGTTTCAAATTGTATGTAATGTATATTGCTGTATACTGATATTATGTGTTATGTGATTTTTATTTAGAATTCTAAATATTTTAATCAGCCATCTCAATTAGGTACAATTTAAATAATTAAATATGTATGTACATACTTCAAAATTTGTTTTTTTTGTAATACATAAAATATATTATCTCTAAATCTATACACATTTATGTAAAGTACGTATATACACTTGAAACATATAGAACAAATTAATTTAATGATAGTGTAGACGAATAAATTTTCAGGTAACTAAGTTGGAAAAATTTGAATTTTAAACTAATAAAATTCAATTTCAAATTGAAACTATTTTGTACAAGTTTTTAAATACAACAAAATATAAAATAATTTTTTAAAATTTTATTTTTTACGAACAATTACAAAACATAAGTAAATTAATTATTTAATATGCACCTACACAGACATTTATGTTCAAAATTCTGCGTTTATTAAAAACTCCTTTAACAGCATAAAAATACTTATTTCCAGTTATCTGGAACTGTATATTCCAATTGAAAATTAATATTGAAAATTAACATTAAAATCAAAAATAAAAAAAACAACTGGAGTTGAAATAAAAATTGTTAAGGCGAATTATGTAAGGCAGATTTTAACCGCAACGCTGCAAGAGCATCAAATAAATATGGGCATTAAAGAAAATTAACTCATAACAATTTAAAAATCGTCAACTCGTCAAAATTTCAATCAATGCTTCATTTTCTCAATGCAAACAATATTTTATTGAAAATATGCGAATAATATTTTTTAAATATATTCAAAGATATTTACAAACCTATGCCAAGTCGGACTTTCCTTTGTTCCAATTTAATAGAAAGTTAGACTATTTATGCGTTCAAAAATGTTTGGCATATTCTCAAAACTTTAAATAAAAACTGCAAAATTAAAATTAGGTTTCCATATATAAGAACTACATGCATTACGAGTTTAGAAAAATATCAACCGTTTAATTCTGTGCAAATTTAGTAGACTCCATACAAAAGCTTCTCTAAAAGTGGACTACTATGACGAGATGACACAGAAACTATGAGTAATTCTTACACTAAATTTTTTCTACATATGTCTCCAAAATTATGTTTTTTACTAATTACTGCAAGAGGCTACAAATTACGGATAATATTGAAACCATAACGATAACCAATAAATTTTCATAAATTGTATATAGCTGCCTAATAGAGAGTAGAACCTGGAAACCTGAAAATCCTTTTTCAATGAAATTATTTTTACTTTGAAATTTCTAACAAAATCTCCCTTTATAAGAGGAATTCCTATGTACTCTATGAGTGCAATAAATTTTGTTAATTTTGCATTCATAGCCTACATAGGAATTCAGCAAATAAAAAAATCAAGATATGAGATTATGAAAATTATTGACAGAAGAAATAAAAAAAGAATTACACCCGATGCTGAAAAGAGAAGTAGAAACACAAAAGTAAAAATAAATATGTCTCTTTTTAATTTTAGTGAAAATTTAAATGCCCGGTTTGACTCATGCCCAACATTAAAAATGTCAGATCAAGAAAACAAAACAAAAATGTGCGTGACGTTTTGTACGATTGAGTATTTCGGAAATTCTATTTGATTTCAGAAAAAATATAATGGAATATAACCTTCTTGTACCAACGGATAGATTTTTTAGGGGAGGAATAATATAATATCATTTGATCATACATCTGTCTATGCATATTTACGTTATAGTTAGCAATCTCTATTGGCTTTTTCTTCGCGATACCATATTTATTTTGCACGTCAATTATTTTGGGCTGGTTTTCCGTTGTGATACAAAGCACATCCCGCTTGTCTTTCCACTTACTAATATAGACGTTGCCCTATCTTGTCCATATATGTTCCCCTTTTTTAAATTTTTTTTGCATTATTACTTTTGGATTCATTTTGCGATTGGTACGTAAGGTTCCAGTGGTATGAGTTTTAAAACTAAGTAATCGATTGGCCAATCCGACACTATTATAGTAGTTATCCATAAATAATGAAAGGCCCTCCGATAAATATGATTCCATTAGTCTCATAATCACAGAATCTACTACAGATAAGGAAGATACCTCATGTGTTACTTTGCCTTTATATATATCTAGATTTAGAGCATAGCCATCATGTGTACAAAATTCATAAAATTTAATTCCGTACTTATTTTTCTTTGATTTTATAAATTGCCGAAAACTTAGTCTCCCTCGACGTAGCATCATAGATTCATCTATATCCATAAATTTTTTCCAGGTTTATATGCCGTTTGAAATGAACTATTTACAAGCTCCAGAAGTTCGGAAATCTTAGTAAGTCTGTCATTATTTGGTACGGATTCACAATGTAAGCAACGCAATAGCTGTTCAAACCTACGCCCGGTCATACATGCCCCGAAAATTGCATGATTTTTTAGGACATTAGTAAGCTTATAGTTAACATACCTAGAAAAATGTAAATTTGGCCTTTGTAGAGTTTCGCTTTGTGCTACCCGAATTCCCTGAAATGCTCGGCAGTTAGTTTCGGTAACAACCAGAACTCAAATATCAAATTTCAAGAAATTCCATCAATTCGTTCCGTAGATATGGTGCAAAATGTAAAATCGGCCCGCAGATCAGTTCTCGAGCCCTGATCTTTCCAAAAAATTTATATGTTCATTGATTTAATACGAAGAATTTAAATATTAAATTTCAATGAAATCTGTCGATTATTTCTCTTTATATATACGCAAAAATGTATATTTGGCTCGTAGTAAATTTCCATTTGCTAACGCCTGATTTCTTCCAAAAGTTAGGAGGTTTCGCGGACGGTCGAGCTGAGCTCATACATGAAATTTCAAGTAAATCGGTTGGATATTTTCTTCAAAATGTTCATAAATATAAAACAGACGCGCTAAAAAGTGCAGTTCCCAAGGCCTGATATATCCCAAAAGTTGGTCAATCCGTGCCATGGTGGAAATAAACTTACATATAAAATTTCATCAAAATCGGTTCAGCCAAACTTGAGATACACGCGTGCACACACAGACCGACAGACCGACAGGTTGCTAAAAATAGTTTATTTACACTTCCCTACTATGGAGAAGTGCACCCCCACCGAAAACTCGATATGCAAAATTTGTTGCCATCACATAACCTACCTATTGTATACACAATACGGTCGCTAAAAATAACGTTGGGTCAAACCAGAGGTTTTTATTGCAGTACTTTTGAAAAACTGTTTTCAAAAACAATCTATGTATTGTTATCACACTATTAAAATTATTTTTATTCATACACGAAACTATTTCCAGGGTTGCATATATTTAGGATGAAAGATTTATGCAGTCTTTGAAATAAAGCAAAATTAAATTTAAAGAAGGGTTAACACATAATGCTCGATTTTAAAGGTTAATTGTATGTTTTAAGAAAAATATTTATATTATATAACGGCATAGATTTTACCGTTATCTTTTTGCGTTTATAGAAATTCTTTATTCTATAGATTTATAGAAGGTGCCAAATATTCAAATTTTAAAAAATTTCAAAATTTTCTTCTAACAAAATAAACTATTATGAATATCTAAGAGCTACAAAAATTTCAAACTCCTGCACCGCATGGTGTAGGAGAAAAACAGTATCAAAAATTTGGAAAAAAAAAAGCGTTTTAGATAACTTTTTTTCTCTTTTTGGAAAATTTGAAAAATATTTATGGTTTCACTGGAATAAAAAGTTAAAAAATGCCGTTTTTAGCGTTTTAGGGGGGTATAACTGTTAGAGGGGGGAGATAGATGAAAATTTTGTTCTACGGAAATAAGTTTCTAGTAAAGATCTATGTGCGCAAAAATTTCAACTTTCTATCTTCAAGGGTGTAGAAATTTTGTAAACAGACACATGGACAGAGTGAAACTAATAAGCTCAAATTTTTGCTAGAAAAGTGCTAATTAGAAAAACGATCAACTGAACAGAACTTTGTAAAAAGAATAAAATAAACTCATTTATATTTTTTGTTTATTTTTACAAGAGAAAAAAATCTAATGTGGTCAGTAAGAGGTGTTGTCTAGTTTAGCAAGTGTTGCACAAGATACCTTCTAACACTTCTTTTAAATTTTAAGACAAACTTCGTCGATTTAAAGTTAATGCCTTAGTTTATTAATTTATGAAATTAATTGTTACATAGTTTTGCGCAAAATTTTTGAGTAATAAAAAAGTCAAAATCAATTTATTCTCAATTACAGCATGTTCATTAAAAACGAAACGTCAAACAAAAAATACTTTATTCACAATACTTATTACAAAATTTTTCAATCGAAAATAATAATTATTGGCAATGATAATTTGAAACCAAAATTTTATATAAATTTTCCAAAATATGACTCAAAAGTTCAATTTCATAAAAAAGTTTGAATTCTACATACATATGTACAAGGTTTCCGAACATCCGGTTATTGAAATAATCGATTTTCTAAAATAATAAAAATATAGAATTTAGAAATAAAATAATACTGTTTTCACTCAATTTACACAATTTTAAGAAATAATTAAATTTCTACAAAAAAATTCTACTAAATTGAAATTCCATCCAATTTAGGTCTTTTATAAAAAAAAAATAACGTTGGGTCAAACCAGTGGTTTGTATTGCAATACAATAAGTTTCTAGTAAAGATTTATGTACGTAAAAATTTCAGCTTTCTATCTTCAAGGGTGTAGAAATTTTGTAATCAGACACATGGACAGAGTGAATCTAATAAACAAAAATTTTTTGGAAAAGTGATAATTAGAAAAACGATCAACTGAACAGAACTTTGTAAAAAGTATAAAATAATCTTATTTATATTTTTTTTTTATTTTCATTTATAATTGTTTGTTATTTTTAGCAAAAGTGTTGCACAAGATACCTTCTAACACTTTTTTTAAATTTTAAGACGCTAGTAAGCTTTTAGTTAATGTATGTATAAAAATGTAAATTTAGCTCTTAGTAGAGTTTCGTTTTGTGCTATCCAAATTTCTTGACAAGTTCGTCAGTTCCTTCACGTTCTAAACAAAACCCAAATATTGAATTTTCAAGAAAATCTTTAAAATATGTTCCTTAGATATGATAAAAAAAGTAAACTTACTCTTTAGTAAAAGTTCAGTTGTTCTATAAAATTCTTAAAAATTTTATAATTTTATTACTTTCACAAGGAAATTGGTTGATTATTTCTGTTTGTGTACGCAATAATGTTAATTTAGCGCGTAGTTAAAGTCCAGTTGCTGACTTCTGATTTCAGCAATGGAACACACAAACAAGTTATGTAGTTTGTTGCACTATCAATACAAGCTTGTTTATGAAATTTCAAGATAATTGACTGAATATCTTCCGAAAAATAATCAAAAATGTAAAATCGGTCCGAAGTTAAGATCCAGTTCCCGTGACCAGACAAGTCCCAAAAGTTAATCAAACCGTCTCAAAGTAAACTTTATCTTCAAAGTAAACTCAAATAGAAAATTTCATTAAAGTCAGTTCAACCGAACTTGAGGTATTGATCTCCACCGACAGACTCACCGACAGACAGGCAGAGAGACATCTAAAATAGTTTATTTACGCTTCCCTATCACAAAGCATCCTTATGTGCCATCACATCATCTCCGTTGTTGCATGCATTGCGGTCGGTAACAAAACTTTATTCGAATTTTAAAAATCGTCTATTTTACAAAATTCTTTTTCGTGATTACTCTGAGTTTTATTATAACATAATCTACAGTCTAACTTTGCTAAATTATGAGTACGAAAAGGAAACGAGAAAACATTAAGTGTTTTTATGTTTTTCTTTTGTATTGTAAAAAATTTTATTCAATTGTAAAAAATTTTTTTATAATTTATTGAGACAATAAATTAAATTATGTTTTTTAATATATTTGAATGATGTAGGGTTTTGTAAATGATTAAAATTAAAACTGAAACAAGAATAAAGTTGTGTCAAACCAATGGAGGCACTTTTCCCTTCAAAAAGAGAAAAATACAGACAAATGAAAATGACAACGACATTAATTAATTTACATAGTTTCAATGATAAACCTAAATATGTATAAAAATATTGCATATATTCGGGTACAGCAAAAAAATTATGATTGAAAGAGGCATTAACATAATTCTCGAATTCAAGGGTTATTTGCTTGAGTTAAGAGAAATAATTATATTTTCCAATGGCATGTCATTTACTGTTACCGTTCTACATTTCTAGAAATTTGGTAAAGCTTGTAGTTTCGGAAATATACGGTGCCGAAAGGAATGAGGTGGAGAAAAATTTTCTCCGAATAAAATTAACTATTTAGTAGTATCTAAAAGCCGTTTGGCTCATATACCTGAGCGTCTAGAAGACAAACGGTATCAAAAATTTGAAAAAAGCCAGTCTAACACAAGGGTCATTGTTATTTTCTTAATATTAACCAAGTTATGTCGCCTTAGAGAAAACTCATCACTACATTTTTGCGTTTGCAAACATCAAAAATTTTTAACAAATAGTAAAAAATGGCATCTATTCTACAGAAATAAGTTTCAAGTAAATATCTTATACATTTCTTACACATTTCTTACACATTCTTATACATTCTACACATATCTTATACATTCTATTTGCATATGAAATTTGTGCTTTCTATTTTCAAGGGTGTAAAAGTTTTGTGGGCAGACACATCGGCTGACGGACTGGCGGACGAATAAACAAGGTGAAGTTAATTAGCACTTTTTCAAGTTTTTTTGGGAAAGTGCTAAAAAGTAACATTTTTGTTTACTTTAACAACTGGACAATATCTTTTCATTGATTTTTAATTCATTGTCTCATCAAAACAAAAAACAAAATAAATTAATTTATTTCAATAAACAAGAATGGTGATTCATAAGTTTTACCAGGAGCAGAAAAACATTATTTCCCTATAAAAGACTCTAATGTTTCACAAAAATTAAACGATACTCTTAAGAAATGTACAATGGTTATGTTTTCTTTTAATCTTTTAATATCATTTTGGTTAAAAATTATAAGAATTTTATTGAAATATAAAACACGCATATTAAGCTTATTAAATGTTAAAGAGGTCCGGGTGTGGAGTTTTTATAACAATTAAATTTTTTTTTGTTCTTGAACAAATTTAAAGATAAACAAAAATAAAGCAATTTTCAATGACCGTTTTACTTGTCTAATGTTTTTTTTAAGATTCCGGAAACAAATAATGTAAAACTGTTACTGCCAAATTGCTGCTTTTTCAAAAATTTTGGTTTAAGGCTCAAATAACTGTTAATTTTGGTTTGAAAAATTTATAAATATTATTACCTATATAAATTTAGAAAATTAGCTTTTCTTATTTCATAAATAATATTGTTGGTTACAAGGACGTATTTGAAACTTATGTGTTTAATGTAGCTACAATC